TATTAACATTACATGGATAAACCGTGTTGCCTGGACTCTAACCCCATAGCCTCATCTTCCTGCTCAGAATGAGTGAATGAGTGCAGGGACTTCCTAGCTGTCTAACTCCATTTTTTTAATCTTTGGAGGATAGCTCAGGGGAGAAGCCGTCTCATCTTCTAAAACCTGGGTCTGGCTGTCATTCTCTACTGGGGTCCTGACTTGGCTTTTCAGTTCTCATAGGAAACAACTCACAGGGCTCCCATAGCCTGGCCTCACATTTCTTCTTTCTTTTTCTGGATTGTTTATGAATTCCCTCTCCTCAAGCACTGCAGTCCTCTGGCTCTGGGTCCCTGGTGGCCACATTTAATTGGTCTTATGAGATGTATTTCAGCTGTCACCTCTTGTTTTACCATTTACTCCTTGTCCAAACACTGCACCAGCACTATTATTTATATTCCAGATCATATTTGTACTATTAATTTTTCTATTTATACTATTAATTTCAATGTCCCTTGCCAGACTACATAAACTCTTCAAGACTGGGAGGATGTTCAGTAATATAACTCATTGTGAGAATCACTATTGTCATGTTGTATTTTAAGTTAATTTGTCTAATTTCTGAATAGATGCAGAGAAGGTAAAAAGTTTATTAGGTGCTTTCATCAAACCATCAGAATCAGACAGGTGCATTTGGTAAAATTAATGATGATCGATCTCACGTTTTTCCTAGTACATGTCTTCCTACAATGTTATGAGCAAATTAAATTAGACAGAGTGAATGAGGTTTTCAGTAGAACAAAAAAGCTCACATTTTTAGAAATGTCAGTAATGAAAGAATCTGTTTAAAAGAGCACCTTGTAATCAGAAAAGCCACCTTCTTTTCCTTTGCCACTTTGATAAATTGGGAATTCCAGAGACTGAATTTCCTTGAGGTGAAGTTGATTTAGGTAGAGATTCAGCAATTATACTACAAATAAACTAATGGGAAGGGAATAATAAGAAAGTCGCAGGAGGAATCTAGTGTTGTGTTGTAAACATTACCTGATTTCAAGTGTGAAAGTGAACCTTTTGCCAAAAGTCTCCATTTGAAGCTGCTTTAGTTAAAAAAGCTTTAATGCCAGCAATGCATAAATTAAGGATGAAGCCGAAGTTTGTACAAAACCAAGGGTTGCATTCTAGCTGGTCTGCAGTGAGCCTGCCAGCACTAACTGGCGCCCATCAGTCAGGGGACGGAAGCAAAGGCCACTGCAGTGCTGGGAAATGCACCAACCATCAGAAACTCCATGGTGAAATGCTCACAAGACCGTACTTCTCATAGCTTGCAAAGAAAACAGGAAATGCACGTGTAAGAGCCAGCCTGCTGCTAAGTCCAGGGACATTTGTGTCTGTTCAGTTGAGAATGTCCCCATCAGTACTCATTGGGGGTCCGAATTGATCCCCCACTGGGAGGGACAAGATGGGGCATTTGGGGGATAATGGAGGTAAATAAGGTTCTAAGGGTGGGGTCAAAAGGGCCTTAATGACTTTCCTAGAAGAGGAAGAGAGATCTGTGAGATTCCCAGCTCTGCCTTGGGACTCTGGCACATCCCCACCCAATAATGCCACTTTAATCATCAGCTTTCCAGCCTTGGGAACCACATATTGCACGAACTTTTATTTTTTTGTTTCTCTTTGGTGGGATTCTTATCTAGCAACAGAAACAGATGAAGAAAGCATCCCTGCCTGTGAATGCTGCAGGGCAGAAAGTCTTATGGAAGGGCTGGGGAAAAGGTTCTGAAGTCACCTTATTTTCCAATATTTCCTAGTTGTCTTAGTTACTTTTTACTAGTCATCACTGAGACAAAATGCCTGATGCCCAAAGTTGGGAAAGGAAAGGTTTCTTTTTTACAGTCTTTGGAGGTTACAGTCCACACTCAGTTGGCTCCAAAGCAGGGTGCCATGGTGGGAGGCAGTTCACGGTGGCTGCAAACAGCAAGACAGAAACTGGCAAGAGAGCAAGACACACCTTCTTCTTGCCATTACATTACATCCTGGCTCCACCTTTAGGTGGGTGTAGCACTGACACCATCAATCCAAGCACTAGACAGTGAACCAATCACAAATGCACAATGCAAACTCATGAGGCCTGGGGGCCACCCACATAAACCATGACACTAGGTTAGTTTTCTTATAAAGTATCTTATCCCAATTAATATGTAAGTTGAGGCTCATCCTGTCCTAAGGGTTTCCCTTGTATTTCTGCCCTCTTTTTTGCTCCGGGAAGCCTCTTCACCCTCCGTCTCCTCAGCATCCCAGGTAGCAATGGCTAAAAGCAGATGAGCTCCAAAAAATGAGTAAGAGAAACAACTGCTCAGAATATGTGTGCTCTCATATTCCCTATTCTGCTTCCTCTTTGAACTTGCTGGTTAGTACTGTCTTTTCGGTGGGTTTTTTGGCATCATTAACTGGGCAGGAGCAGCCGGAAGCATAAAGACACCAGGCCAGCAGTTGGCTGGTGGCTGTTTAGTGAGTCCTAAGGGAAGGTGTTCAGTGACCCAACATAGCTATTTAGCTTTTGACATAAGGCTTAATCCATAATATTCCACTTACCATTTCCCAAGATAATTAAATAGAAACTATAAACATGACAAGTTAAAGAATGTTTATTCCATTTTCTTGATTTTCTTTCTTCCTCCCCAATTATGATGGGGTTGGAGAAGGCAGTCTGGGGTCCAATCAGGAGGCCCATTCTCTGACTATGGTGATAGATGGGTAGCCCTGGGAGCCCTCTTGCCATTCGTGATGGTGAACACAGGAAGATTTGGGTGAATTAATACTATTCTAATGAAAGAAGAAAAAGAACCATTTTAATATTGCTTAAGAAAGACTGAAGATTGGCAAGATGGTCTATCCACAACCAGCCAGATTCACCTTCAACAGAGCAAGCAGTCAACAGTGCAACGGTGATCTGTACCAAGGGTTCATTTGTGGATAAGCGTGGTGTTTGAGAATTCTTCTGTGATCTAAACAACGTGCCCACCTCTCTCCCCATCCCTGTGGAAATCCTCACTCCCAAAGTGATGGTGGTTGGCAGTGAGGCCTCTAGGAGGTGGTTAGGCCATTAAAGATGGCACTCTTCAGTGAGATTCTTTGTACCCTAATAAAACAGAGCTGATAGAGCCACCTTCCTCCTCCCTCCAGTCCTGCCAGGATACAGCCAGTGGCCTGGTGTGAGAGGCATGAGCTCATCTCAGGGCAGCTGTGTTGTAGTATAGAAGTGTTTCTGTTGTCCATAAGCCACCCACATTTGGTATTTCATCACAGGAGCTAGAAGAGATTAAGACCAATCCTAACAGGAGAAACACCTTTGTCTTAGTTACTTTCCTCACTGCTGAAAAAAATATTCAACACCCAAAGCTAAAGGAGGAAAACTTCATTTAGCTCATGGTTTGTAGAGGTTTTGGCTCATAGTATGCTGGCTCCAAGGCGGTGTCATGGCAGAGAGGGATCACAGAGGAAAAACAGTTCATGGCAGGCAGAAGACAGCCAAAGCAAGCAAGTGACCAAGGGCAAGTCTCTTTCTTTCCCTTTCATCCAGGCTTCCTGCCCTAAGGGCAGGTAACACTCACACTGTTAATCCTAGTGCCCTTGGTCCTAGTATTGCGATCACAAATTGATCCTAGGGTCACAAACCCTGATTCAGCCACCTCTGAAAAAGCCCTACCTGTGACTGCAGGAAGCTCCAGAAATGCCTCAGAGGTGCCTACCACTTTCCAGGCCTAGCCTAACCCACACCTCTTTTACAGCTGCCTTTCACCCATTAGGCTTTGGTTTGCCTATTTCTTCTGTTCTCCCTCGAGTCTAAATGACTGCTTGACACCTGTCCGCCAAGTGTTTTGTGCTTATACATTATGTACGCAGTGTACACACTCACACAGGATAGTGGGAGGCTTTGTAATTTTCACGTGAGTGCTGCTGCTACAATTAGAATTTTTATTTCTTTTTGAGTTCAAAATTGACTGTTCTATTTTATACTAAAGATTTGTTGTGAATGAAACAGAGAGAGAGAGAGAGAGAGAGAGAGAGAGAGAGAGAGAGAGAGAGAGAGAGAGACAAGGAAAGAAAGAAAGAAAAAAAGAAAGAAAGAAAGAAAGAAAGAAAGAAAGAAAGAAAGAGACTTATACCCAGGCTCTCCTACGCCACTACTACGCCTTCCCAGGTGAGGGCGCCCGATTCTCCATCCCTAACCTCAAGGCTCTGAGTTCAAACCTTAATTGCTGGTGGACTGAAATAGCGTGGGTCGGTGGGCGCACAAACGTGCCTACCATCCGCACGCGCTCGCTCTCTCTCGGAGCGAACATCTCGGTGTGGTTGGACGACAGTGTGAAACTGCGGCTCTGAAAGGCTGATCCGATCCGAGGAGCGCCCAGGGCGTGGCCACTGGGCAACGATCGGGGATTTGGGTGCCGGGATCTGAGCCCCGTCGGAGGGTTCCTTGCCCCTGAGCTGGCCTGTGGGAAGCAGATGAGATCAGATCCTGCAGGCAGGGGACAGGGAAGCAAAGAAACAAAGCCGCTGGTGGGGCCGCGACTGGGGCGGAGGCCTGGAAGACAGGCAGCCTGGAAGCTCGGAGTGGGTGCGCGCGGCCACGCCAGCCCAGAGTGCACTGAGGCTCCGCAAGTCGCTGGGCTGGGCGCTGCCGCAGCCGGGACGGGAAGGCTGAGTGGGGCGCAACCATGGAGACGCAACGTGCGTGCCATAGTAACCCGAAACAACATCATTTATAAACTGCCACCGCCAGGCTCCGGGTCCTGCCCCCGGCTGCATCTCTAGACGTGCACAGCCGTGTCTGGTTTCCACTGCCTCGCCCAGCTCCGGTACTGGGGGTGGGGGACGCAGACAGAGCGAGTCGCAGCGGATCAATGGTTAACACCGCCCGCAGGCGGCGGCTCCACCCGCGCACACCGAGCGCCTGTTTAGAAATCGCGCGTGCGTGCACAGCGCGTGCCCCGCCACGGCCAAAGGGGCGTCTACGAGCAGCGGCGCTGGGAAAGTGGGGGACGCGCCCGGCGCTACTGCAACAGTTAGGGCTCCCTTCGTCCCGCCGCAGGTCTGGTCCTCCCGGTCCAGCTCAGCTTGAGCAGTACACCTCCCGCGCGCGTGCACGCGTACACACACATAAGCTCACACAAACGCACGCACACGGCCCGTGGCATCGCCTACTGCTCAGCACCCCCCCTTAGGGACCAACGCGGGGACCGCTGTGCCGGGTGCTGCCAGCACGAGGAGTCGCGCAGTGTCCCGGTGTGTGCCCCGCGGACACGCACGCCGTCTGCACACTGTGGCCCCGGCAGCCTCTTCCTTTCTCCCAGCTCCCGGCTTTTTGTTCAAAGCTACGCCCGCCACCCAGCTCTGCCGGTCCTTCGCTGGCGGCGCTGTAAGAAGGCTTGATTGCTATTGGGATCCGTGAGGGTGCGAAAGAGTCCAGTGGAGGAGGAGAAACCAAAGACCGGGAAAATTTTTGGTTTTGTTTCTTCAAAAAGCCATCTCTACCTGGGCGTGCGCCACGCTGATGTCCGCTTTAATCTTCACCAGGACAATGGATTAAGTTACTCTTCTCTAAGTCAGAAGTCAGGTTCAGACTTGGCAAAATGAAGGAAAAGGCGATGATCAAGACGGCTAAAATGCAAGGGAACGTGATGGTGAGTGCTAGCAGCTGGTCCGGCCGGCTGCAACGACCAGCGTTGGGCTGGGGAGGGGGTCCTCTTCTCCGGAGTCCGAGTCTCCCATTTCCCAAGAATGACAGCTTCGGGTCCTCAGGCGCCTGTACAGAGATCACTTCCAGCTCGAGCCCACCCGGAGGCGCCCGGGCGAGGGGACCAGACATTTCTGAGAATCACAACTTGCTACCTTCGTGGCTGCTGTCTTTTGGGCATGTGGCTTTGTGTCTCTGGGCGCGGGCTGTTGGTGAGCCCTCCAAGATGCATGTGTGTGCAAATTCTGAGCAGCTAACCTGGATTGTGCTAGAGGAAACGCAGGGACGGGTCACTTCTTCAGCCAGGGCAGGGCCACGGGGCCCTGCCGCCAGCGCCGGCCTCAGGGCCACGGGTTCCCCGGAGCTGAGACCTGTTGGGGTGGGCCAAGCCTCTGCTATACCCCCAAGCGCACGCCAGCCCCTCTATGCTGGTGACTGGCACCCCTGTCCATGGCTGCCCATCCAGCAGGACCCCTCCCCTCAGGTTTGGGAAAGATTATTCCCCCAAAAGAGTAATAAGGGCACTCCCTTCCCCAAAGATGAACCTGCAGCCTGGCTGCAAGCCAAGGAGCATCTTGGTGTGGATAACTTTGCTAACTTGAGGACTCAGTGTTGTGCCTTCCCAGCACCCGACCCCTTCTTGCCTGCACCCGGTTAGCCCTCCTGGCCCTGGCAGTGCATCTGCTTAGAGTGCCTGCAGCCTGGGGCATGGGTCACGGTGAGGGGATCTCTGGGCTCTGACCCAAGGACCCGAGGACCCGGAAGGGTGCCATCTTGTTCTGGGGGAATTGTCTGTGCGTTTATTGGGGTTGTGTTTTAACCCTTTTGGTGCTGTTGCGAATGTTCCATGGCTGGCCGGTCCTTTCTAAGCGTCGGAAGGGCCAGGGAATGGAGATTTCTAAGTTTCTCTGAAAAGTCCAGCAGGAAACATGAGCATTCCTTCAAGAGCTGGGGCTGTTTACAAAAGTGGTTTGGGTCCAGGGCAGTGAGTGAGGGGCTGTGCTTGGAGAACCAGTCAGTGGCCCATTTCAGAGTCTCCCTTTAAGGAAAAAAGAGACAAGAAATGAGAATTTGGTTTAATTACCAAACTGCCAGGCTGGCTTAACTACACCCACAGGAAGGCACTTGTTGCCTGGCATAGAGGGGCACTGGGTTAGTTCAGAACTTGCCTTCTCCACTCGAGACCCTCCCTTAGGTGCAGTGAGCGTAGATGATACCGCCATGACCGCAGGCACCCCTCCCGGGCTGCTTCAGTCTGTGGGTTCTTGGGTTGGCTGACCTAATTATGCGTTTGTGAAAATGCATCTGTTTTCCTAATTTTCCACCCTTTTAAAAAAGCTATTATATTATTCAGCATAATTTCTTGTTTGCACCGGGCAGAAATATGTATGAAGTTATAGTTTGCTATTAAAAGTCCACCCACACCTGTGATTCCTTTTTTATAATATGCTACCATGTGCTAGTGAAACCTACACACTAAGTACAGAGGCTGAAGGATTGGTCTGGGTGATATTGATAATGATACCTCATCAATGATTGCAAAAATCAAATAAGTATTTCTATTCATATCACAGAAGCTATGTTATGATAACAGCAGCAACATTGTATGAGATCTTTGTTTAAAACTTTCAAGATCTTCTTTCCTTTGCTCCTTTTTCTACCTTTTACTTCCAAAAATGAAGACTGTGAGGGTTGCTGAGCACATCTCTTGTGCGGGAGATAAAAATGCCCCAGGAGCTGTTCACTGACTGTTTCTCCTACCATATTAATAAGTAGCATCTGGGCGTGTTGAACTGAGCTTAGAGAATTCTCCAGCAAGCAGTATTTTAAAAAGTCATTCCTATTGACCCAGGGGAAGATAAAGATGCAATCTTCTCAACTTTTAAATGTTCTTTCAGTTTTTAAATTGACAATTAGGATGCTTAAGATCATAACATTTGCTATTTCATGTTCCAACTAAATCTGTAGGAGGCTTCACCCAGCAGTCACCCCATACTTGGGTCATAATTTGGGACTTCCTAGTCCCTAATTTTCATCAGTTACTGTAAAGAACTCCTGGGCATCACAGCCTCTCCCAGATTACATGCCTGGCACCTCTTTGGACTCAGGTGATATTTAACTTTCTAGATGGGGTCTGGCAGTTTCTGTGGCACATGTACCTGCTGCAAAAGTACCAGAATGCCTTTATGTTGTGTCATATCTGTCAGTGCATGCACATGGGTACACAGACACGTCATACAAGCCAAGTCTCGGTTTATAGATTTGGCCTCACACTTGAGGTTTGAGGTTTAAAAGGGATAGAGGAGACAGAGGGCCTGAAGAGACTGGCTGTTGCCCCCAGGAGTTAGGGAAAGGCCAGATGCTCTTACAGCCAAGCATAGAAGCTACTCCCTCAGCTCTGCATGTGTGTTCATGTGTGCAACATCCTGGACTTGCAGACCCTGATATAACCAGAAGCCCTGAGGACTGTGACAGCAAGCACCCTGGCTTATACTGGCCCCGGCCATTGCTGGGATGGAAATTGGAGTGTAGGTTTTGTTCTGAGTTGATTTCTGATCACAGATGGATGTCTCGGGGAAGGCAAGGTTCCCAGTTGCAGTGCATTCTCCAGTCTTGTTGGAGTGAATCAGCAAGCAAAAGAAAAGCTGTTAGTTGTACCAGTTCACAACTTCCCATTCTCTACAAAGGTTTATTTCATAAACTTCTAATATTTTCAGGATGTACAGACTAACCATTTAATGTGTCATGTAACACATTGAAAGAAATCAAGATTTTCTACCTTCTTGGAAGCCATATTGTTTGTAAGTCTACATTTGAAGATGCACAGAGGGGTTAATACGAATTTTTAAGCCAGTCTTACTTTGTTACTAATATGCTGATACCCTGCTTATTTAACAGTGATGTCCTGGGCCGAAAGGTCTAGAATCAATGGAAAAGTTTATTATCCGAAAGATACCGGTTCATGCTAAATTCCCTGCTCTGTCCTTATGGGCCTTTCTCCTATGCTAAGGTGCTGGGTGAAGAGAGGTGGAAGTACCTCATGATCATTAGTGTTTCCCTCTTCCTTGCTACCTGCACTGTTGGGTGTTCAAGTATGTAGTGAGTCAACAAGGGTTCGGCATGGTTTTGGAAGCCAGAGTGGTGACAGGTAAGTACAGAGGTTTTATGTGTACAAGCCCCTGCTATATGTGACAATCCCATGATTGCTTGGCTTTAGAGAAGAGCTGCAATCTATGAATTCTCTGCACAAGGGAAGTTAAAGTTTTGTTCCTTGTGGACACTTGTGTCAGTGTTTTGTCAGAGAAACAGATATGACACAGAATATACAACTGTGTAAGAAATGACAAGATAGTGTTATGATGGTCACCCACAGTGTGCAGAGGGTGTCTGCATGCTGGAGACCGAAGAATTCAGCCCAAGGTCTGGAGCTCACTGCAGTGTCCTGTGCTAGTGCTTATCAGGAGGCGGAAGGGTCTGGGACGGAAGGCTGAAGAATCCATGCAGGAAGGCCAGAGGATCTGTGCCAGTAAGTTGAAGTCTGTGCTGGAAGAGAGGAGATGACATCTGAGGTGAAGTCAAAGACTGGAAATTCTCCGAAGAAACAGAAGCAATCAGTCCTTCCTCATTTCCCCTTTATATGAACTAGATGACAGCTTGCCCTAGAATAGGTCTTTCTCTTAACTAAGCTTCCCGAGCTGACCCATCAGTCAGCCATCACAACACTGGAACTGGCTTTATATCTCTGGTCTCTGATTGGATCTAGACGTGATGCTATCAGCCTCAGAACTTTTCAGAATGATGATCTTCCCTTCTTATGTGAGGTCACACCTCCAGAAGGATCTGAGCTGTCCAAAGTAAGAGTTTTTTTTCCGCCCAGTAGAGCACTTCACAGACTTAGGTCAACAGATGGGCAGCATCTGCCAGGATGCTCCATGGTAAAGCATACAGGTGCACAGATGCTCTTCGAGTTTGGGGCAAGTTATTGGGTTCATGTGGGGCTCAGTCTGTTGCATGCAGCAACATATGATCTCACACTGATGTTTGGGAGTGTATTCTCTAGTGTGGCCATACTCCCCTTACTCTCAGCTGCTTGGGAGCACTGTTTTTGCTGCTTTTTCACAGATCAGTGAATTGGCAGCATAAAACCTCCCGTACGATTCTAAATGTGGGCATTTCAGCATGGAACTGGGGGAGAATTTGACTTCTGAAAATGAGTTCTAAAAATTACTTCAAAGGCCCCAGGTTCTGAGAGTTGTCACTCTGTGTCTCAGGGTGAATATTAAGGGGGATAGTTCTCTACTTCTGGTTGCCCAACAGCCCCCATAAAATCATTATCTCTAGAAACAGCCTCTTCCAGTGTCGATTAATCCCATCTGTGCAGAGAAAGGACCAGGGGTTAGCCCACTTCACACCACCTCCTGGGTGGGAAGACATGTTATTACGTACTAACACACAGTAAAATATACCAAGTTGATACAGCTACAGGAAGAAGTGCCCAAGGACAGAGAAGAAGCACTCAGTCTGTTTTATAAAATATCCTACAACGGGAGCTTTGGTGGGGGCTGTCCTGCTTCTGCAGAGCCCCTGTGGGTCTTTGCTCCTATGTCCTCTGGGTCTGTTTGTCTAGACACACAAATATACTAAACTGGCCACTTCTGGTCCGGTAACCCATCCTGGTCACTGACCACATGACTTAAAAGGCGTTCCTCATTCCTCCTTGAGCTCTCTGTGTTATTTCTGAGAAGTGTGGTGCATTTTGAAATACCGGCATAGATCGATGGTTAACTCCATTGACATTTACTGTGCGTAGTAAACATTCAAAGGCATGAATGAGTGGAGCGCTGGTCTTTCCTCTGCTAAGCGAATACTGTTCTGTGAACAGGCCAAGAATCGTTGGTGTGCATTTCTTTTGATTTTTTAAGAAGTTCTAAGTAGGTAACAGGAGGG